ACTTAGTGCCTTGATCAGTTCTCTCGTGCAACACCTACATTCACTTTTGTTTGTTGCAGTATGTACTCGGGCTTTGCACGGAAATATAAAAACCAACATTAATAAAGTTATCACACGTTTCATTTTTAACCTACTTAACCGTTTCGTATTACGAATTCTTTTAAGACGGATTTGAACTTTCGAAAGCGAAATTGAATGTAGAGCCGAACAATTTTTTCTAAGTCTCAAAATAATCGTACAAAATTAAATGAAACTCTTGTATGATACTACTTTATATAAAAATGTCTTATAAATGTATGAAAATATGCATATCCTAATAAGTAACAATTGCTATCACCTTTACATACTTTCGCAGGTGATCGCGCACTATAGCCTGGACAAACTTAAAGTCAGGTACGTAATATATATATATATAATATTATTTATGGTTATGTAGTTATATTACTCACCGTTTCGTCGTTACAGTTGTAGTTATGAAATCCTATAGTGAGTGTCACTTCACAATTTTCCTGTGGGTATAGATCACTCGCGTTTGTGCGTTCTCGATGCGCATTGTGTGCTCGGTGCGGTCGCTGTAGTCGCCGCGCACTTACTGCCGTTCGCCGCCGTTCGCTGCCGTTCGAGTTCGACACGGGGCCACCGTGACCTGTCACTAGCCAACAATTTCCAACTCACTCACTATACGTCCTATTAGTATTTCTTATTGGTTTGTGATTCGTCCGTAATTCCCAATCTAACTACACTGCTTGTGGTTTCATTAACAACGATTGATATAGCACTTAAGAATTAAAAGGGTAATAAAGCTTATCGTGTGTAATTTTAAAAAACCGGCCAAGAGCGATTCGGACTCGCGCATGAAGCGTTCCGTACCATCGTACAAGATTTAATACTATGTAGGTAAAACGCGTTTCTTGTAGGGGAGCCCCCTTTAATTTTTAATTTATTTTTAATATTTTTTGTTGTATCGGCAACAGAAATACCCATTTTGTAAAAGTGTCAACTGTCTACCTATTACGGATCATGAGCTACAGTCCGCTGACAGACAGACAGAATAGGGTCCCGTTGGTTACCCTTCGGGTACGGAACTCTAAGAAGGGTATGTAAAAGGTAGGCTCCGCAGAAATCGAATGTACGCGAAATACAATTTTATGATTGTGTCCACGAAATACAAACCAGAAATACAGCAGCAGAAAATAAATGAAAAAAAAAACAATATATTTAAATACATTTACTTCAATGGAATCACAGCTAATATACATATAACGTCTTAGAATTATTTATGGAAAACACACAAACTGGCGCTATGTTTGAATCTGCAAATAATGGAAATTTTAAAACCGCAACAATAAACTTATTACTATGTGATGACGTGACAATAGATTTTTAATGAAACGTAAAAGCTGGCTTAAGGTAACTAAAAAGAATAAAATAATTTCCTTAAATAGCTTATGTAGTCAGTGCTAAGACAAAGTGTATCGAGGAATTAAACCCCAACCTATTTATTATATGGAAATTATTTTATATTATTTAGTCCTATGAAGTTGAGTGGAATAAATTTTATATAAGACTTAAAAAGAAATATTAAAATACCTACTTGTTTATAGGGTGACAAACGAGCACACAGTCCATCTGATGGTAAGTGGTTGCTGTGGCCCATAGACATCTGCATCTATCCTCGATTACGAATCAAAATGCAGATGCGTTGTCACCCGTGAGGACTAAGATGGAATGCCTCTTTTCCAGTAAAAAGGGTCTCCGATTCTCTACACTCACCATAAAAAACATTAAACTGCTATTTTACGCTGGTATTCTGTGAGAGCGTGGTCCTTTCCCGGTCGAGCCGACCCATTCGTGCTACAACTATACCAGTAATATAGCTGCAGCATGGCTCTACCACGTAAGTTTTAATAATTCCTTAAAATACCGAATTTAGTAATACGCGATGATTTTAATAATAATTGTGAGATTGTGAGATTATTAGTAAAGTAATCTCGTTTTACACAATTTACGAAGACATTGCGTATCATGCATACGAAATAAAAAAACAGGATCGAAAACCTTCCTTTTTCTTGACATCGGCTAATAATACTGTAAACATACTACATGTAGGGGAACAGATGTTTAAGACACTAAAAACAATGACCATGTACGTTACAAAGAAAATATTATAACATGACATTTATTTTATTACATTAATTTAATTATTATTATTTACAGCCTCTCATCTCAGGGGTACCTCGTTTAGAGCCGGGGCGGCATCAGAGGCAGCTAAACTCAGTAAGCGGCGCAAATATGAGTCTCTGAGAGATGACTACATATTTGTATCATTTGTAGTAGAAACTATCGGTCCGTGGGGCCCACGTGTGGTGAAGTTCCTAAAGGAACTCCACCCACGGCTGGTCGTTGCTGCTGGTGATAAGAGGGCTGGTTCTTTTCTCGCTCAAAGGCTAAGTATAGCCATTCAGCGGGCAAACGCAGCCAGTGTTCTTGGTACGATACCGCGGGGAGTAGGACTATATGATAATGAAGTTTCTAGTTTTAGTTTTTTTTTATTATTATTATAGTTTTTAATATTGTATATAATAAAATATTTAATTTGAATAATATTCAAACGCACCACAGTGGTGGCGTAAGAAAATCCAGTACCACATATCATCCTCTGGGTGTCATAAGACAGTGACAGAGGAAAATTAAATAGGATAAAGGCAGCAGCATCTTACTTATAACAACCAAAGGAATAAAAAACTGCGGTTGCCTACGCGCCTGTCAAACGTGGCTTCCATAGAAAATATCCAGAGTATGAGGCAATCTATAAGGAAGATTTGTTAGCGTCTTCTTAAGAAGACGCTACTGCCCATCTCCTGGTTTGTTCCCCTCAGTTGCACTTTACGTCACCCACGTGCCGATATTGGTTAGTGGATATTCTTACACCGCAATTACACGGTCTATTATATCATATTATTTAGTTGGACCTATAAAAATACTGCGCTAGATTAAAAACGACCGAACTTAAGCGAAGTTCCAATGCACCTAAGTCTACGCATATCCGAAAAATTCATAAAAGCCTCTTAAGACAAACAAATAAAACCAATAAGAAAACCTAAGGGTCTTTAGGTCATGGGTTAAGAGGTATAATCGACTTTTGTTCTTAGAATTTTTTTAAAGTTTTTATCATGTTTTATAAAAAATAATATGAAGGGATTCCAAGAATTATAATTAGTGGATCTTCTCTGTATATTTTTGTAATAAATCTATTATTTTAGAGAGTATTTCTCACGTCTTTACGTTCAAGATTCTCAAAAACTTTCGAACGCTGTAACTATTTAGTTCAACCACTTATTAGTATTTATTTATGAATGTAATAAATAAGAGATTCAATCTTATTAACTTATAAACAAAATACATCTACTTTACAACCAATCAGATTACATGTAAGATTTTTTTAGATTTTCATTTCAGTCAAGTTTAATAAAACTATTTTTACGGATTTTATTGTCTTATTTTACTTATTTTTAATGCCCGATGTTTCGGGTGCTTTGCAGCACCCATAGTCACGGAGAGACTGAGGTGATTGACGTCCCGGTGTCAAAGTCTGGTTTGGTAGATCGAACCAAAAGTTAATTATTACTTTTGGTCCAATCTGCGCAGAATGAGCTCACTGCAGGATCCCAATCAGGTTGTAGTATCCAGCATGTAATAATCTTGTTCAATGTGCAAATAGTTTTATTCAATGTGCAGTGATTGCATTAGGTCAAGTTCAAAATCATTAAGTCAAGTTTAAAACAAGTTGTAAATTAAATAAACACATAAATCTTATAAAACTTTGCGAGTAAATGCCTAATACCCTTATACAATTATCAATAATAACTGCCATACGCGCAAACGACATCTTCTTCTATCTTTATCTTAATTTAAGCGGTAGCGTAAGAGAATACACTACACTACCTAATATTAACCTGTGGGGTGTACCGTGAGATACGACAGAGGAAAACAGAAATAGGAGGTAGGCAGCAACATCTTCCTAATAACAAATCAAAATCCTAAGAAAGCTGGTGGTGCCAACCCGCCTGCTAAACGTGGCAACTATATTAAATATCCCCGCCTCCTACTATGAAGGAATCTATGGGGTGGCCTTTTATCAGCAGTGACTTAAAATTTCCTGTATTTAATGATGATAATGATTACCATGGTGATTAAAGGAGTCCAAACCCTGTCTCTACCAACACTTGGCTCTTACACTACCGAGCCATCGATTTTTTTTTATAGGAGAGTGGGCAAACGAGCATGCGACTCACCTGATGGTAAGTGTCGACCGCTGCCCATGAACAACTGCAACACCAGGGGAATCGCAGGTGCGTTGCCGGCCTTTTAAAAAGTGAAGGCTCTTTTTTAAAGGTCGCTAAGTTAGATTATTCCGAAAAGATAGCTGGTGGTAGTCGATTATTATTAAATAGTGATTGCCGCTAATTGTTTAACTTTGTAATTAAAGAGACGTTACTGTTACTTCTTCTATATGTTCAAACTGGATAAGGTCCCTAAGTCGTATCGGTCCAGAAAAAATCTCTGGTGGTTATCGATTCCACATGGAAGTCGTGCGAGGAAGAAAACTTCTTGTAAATCGCACAGTGGTTGACCGCCAATCATCCAGATGGTATGGATAGTATTGCGAGTTTTGTCGCGGTGAAATGAACACTTCCCGTGGTAGATGCGAATAAAGTAAGAAATACGCAAAAAGATGCAACATCTCTTCGTAGTGGCACTAAATCAAGCTGATCAGAAAATTCTCGGTCGAACTGCTCTGCGCTGGATGCGATCAAAGGAGAGAAGCTGGCACTGGGGAGCCTCCAGGAGGGTTTATGTTTAGTAAAGACATTACAACCTAAAAAGGGGTTAAATATAAGAGGGCTTATAAAATAATTAAAAAAAAAACATTTCCATATAAATAAAATACTTTAATATATGCCCATTTTGTATAAATAGTAGTAAATGCTAAAGTCAAATCACATAAAGTTCTCACGGAAGCGCACAGTGCTACGACGGGGGAGAGGCGTTGCGTCGTCATCAGTGTCGATCGCAGGTTCGTATCCTTTGTTCACGTACGCGCCAGACATCGATGACCTTCCCGCAAGATTACTCAACTAATAACATAAAAATATTTTATTAGCATCATATACCTACTTATTTAGTAAAGTGAATGCTACAATCAACAAATAGATCAATTCAGATCAGCAGAATTCTCAGCACCTCAGTATTATAGAAATGTATCAGTTATTACATTTTTTTAAATACAAAAAATTTCAAATTAATGGTACATACTTTTTGTAATATCGTTTGCAAAATCAAAATAATTTCTAAATTCGTTCATCTAATCTATACGTGTATACGATAATACGTGAAGCTCGTATTTCTTTCTGTTGGTATCGTAAGAGCCTACTATGTGAAATGCCAAAAAGTTTCGATAGATGGCGGTATAACTATCTTTGTTCAGATCGCCAGAAGTAAAATGGCCAGGCCAACAATGGGCAGCAGCATCAAAGTTACGAGACGTTCGGGTACAATCCCGCTTACATCGAAAGAGGCCAGCAGTTGATTTTTATGGTCTAATAAAGTAAAACATGGTAAAGATGAAGAGATGATAACTGATTATATTACAAATACGTATTATAAACAAATTTCGAGTAGTACAAACATAGTGTATAGTGTAATAGTAGTATAAAGTGTATTAAGTAAAGGTACACACCCGAGAATATTGTAAATCGGCACTTAAAATTGCAGTTAACATCGCGGAGATCAAACCCGGGTTGCTCACGTACTGTAAACTTTACAGCATGCGATTATGTCCGGACTTACCATTTTTTTAAAGAAAGAAAAGCTCATAAATAAACAAATAAAGAGTAATTATTATTCTAAAAGATATTTTATAACATTAAAGCGTCAACACGGACCACCAGATGATATGTGGTTACTGCAAACTAACTTGTTACAGAAAGCTACGGTGCGTTGTTACCACCAAGGACTAAGATGTAAGGAATCAGACCGGGACGCAGCGGTGGAAGTACTACTGATTTGAACCAGTAAAAAGTAAGAGGGTCGTTTATGGCTATTTATCTTATATATTATATTAAAGGATTCCTAGACAAAAGTTGAGTCCTATTTAAAAAAAAAAAATTAAAATCCGTAAAGTAATCAGAATTTTTTTTAACTAATTAGCTAATCCTATACAAACAATCACCCTATGTAAAATCGTAGAGCCTTTAAGGTGCCATACAGCCATAATGGTATTAAATCATTGGCGCGTGTTTTTTTTTTTATTTAAAGATTTCTCGAATACAATTATTTAGATTTCCCTAAGTTGTTATCTCTACAAATAAATAAAATTGAAGTGTCTGTTTGTAATGTGAAAGTTACAGCTTTTTACTAAATACATATGAAAGTATATACGTTACTAATAACAAAAATACAATTTTTAAAGTTTTTGTCTGTCTGTCTGTCCGTCTGTCTGTCTGTTTGTTCCGGCTAATCTCCGAAACGACTGGACCGAGTTTGACGGGATTTTCACTGGCAGATAGCTGATATCACAAGGAGTAACTTAGGCTACTTTTATTTTAGAAAAAGGGTTCCGCGCAAAAAAATTAAAACCCCAAATAACACGCGGGCGAACGCGTCGCGAGGAACAGCTAGTATATTTATAAAAATTATATTCAATTATGAATAATAGTATCAAAATGTATTCTAAATATTAAAAAACATAATTGTTCGTAAACAAATAATGTTTTATTTTTCATTTCATGAACAAAAAAATGTACATAAGCAAAAAACCAAACATAATTGATCGTGAACAAATAATGTTTTATTTTTATTTTTTCGCAAAAACGAATCTCACACAAGCTTACGCGATTCATGTACTCGTAAAGCGTTCTACACAGGTGAAAAGAAACACTCCAATTGTAATTTTAGCTCAAAGTCCTTGACTTACATTCTAAGTCGCTACCACTTGAATCGACGGACCATGAAACTATTAGGTTTAAACGTTATTAACACTATAATGAAGTAATTCTTCATCTCATCCCCGTAACATTAACATCATGGTTATTGTTATTACTGGATTCATTTTGTTGTGTTAAAATGTATAGCAAAATCTCGTGCATCATTAGTGATATTCGCAAGCCACGTACCGAGGGCAAAATACGATAATATACAATTTCTATTCTCTACCTGAATATATTAGTTGTGAGTTTTGCGACTAAATGTAAAGTGTATTCAATAATTTAAAAATTGGTTGTACAACCGACTTCAATATAAATTATTAAGGATAATTCAAAAACTATTTGTCAGACCTTGATCAAATTTATGTGGACCACATGAGAAGCATCAGCTTTCAAATAAAAATGAATCATCAAAATCGGTTCACTTAAAAAAAGTTATGAGGCGTGACACACATAAAAAAGAACAAACAGTCGAATTGAGTACCTCCTCCCTTTTGAAGTCGGTAGAAAACTTTAAGTATATCCTTCAGTTTACTAGATTATAATGTATTTATCAATGAGCTATAAGTGTAAGCGATTAAAGCATACCATGAAGCTAAACTAAATATTAAATTATAACATACTAATTTTTCAACCGTTAAGTCTTAATTAAGGTAAAGTAATGTATAATAATAAGGCATTAAAGATGAATGTTAATGATGTTGGTTTTGTAATAATCAAACTAGTGCAAGGTGGGTGGTGTTACACTTAATGTGCGGTCGACCGTTGTTTCTAATGTAATACTCACGATTACCTAGAGCTATAAGATATATTATATTAAAGCTAAAATACGAAGTGGGGGTTTTCTAGGTTTAGCTGGCTACAACTAGGTGCAGCCGATTGCGGTTGGTTAAACTTAGGTGTATTCGATTTATTCTTGGTTATTATGTACGTGGTAGTGCCACGCGGCAGCTTTTGCCGTCGCACGGATGGGCCGGCTCGAACCGGGGTAGTACCACGACCTCACAGAAAACCAGCGTGAAGTAGAGGTTTACCTCTGCGTTTCGCTTGGTGAGTGCAGGTGGCCGGAGGTCCTTTTTACTGGAAATGAGGCATTCCATCTTAGTCCTCACAGGTGAAAACGCATCTACATTTTGATTTGTAACAGAGGATAGATGTAGATGTCTATGGGCCGCAGCAACCACTTACCATCAAGTGGACTGTGTCCTCGTTTGTCACCCTTATCCTATAAAAAAAACGTCTTATGCCAGAAGATATAATAAGCCTAGGTTTACCTGGGCTTACAGAAGTAAATAATTTATAAATTAGATGAATATCCACGGCTTTGTAGTGACCCTCACCACTTAATACGCGCTTTCCTATTTTTCCAAATTAACAGAAGTCATAGTTATTTTAATTGATATTCGGAGTTCGGATTTGAGTGTAGCCATCACTTTATTAGACCTAGTTTTACTCAAAAACAACCGGTTAAACCTATTTTTGGTCAGGAATAAACCTAATACACCTTAGTTTAACCAATCGCAATAGGCTGCACTTGTTGTAACTTACTCTATGATTTTGGCCGTCACAACATATCCATTGTGAAATATACATCATACATTGCATTTCTGATTTTAAGCCAAAAATCCCATTCAACTGTCTTTTAGCGAGAAACAAAAATAAAGTTTCTATTAACTTGGTTCAGTATTTCCTTATAAAATTCGAATTAATTGTGGCAATAGAATGGTAGACACTTATCTCTTGCTGCTAAAAGGAATCTATCATTCAATTTTATAGGAATACGAGTATTCCTATGAATAAATAGAATAGAAATTAGGTCAAAATTATTTCTAACCTTCTTGTAATTTTATTCTTATATTTGTAATATAGAAAATTGTATTCAACTGAAAATATTGAATAAAATTAGTTTTACTGATTTTATCGCGTTTAATTTTACTTATTTGTAACTAGCTTTTTACCCGCGGCTTCCCTTGCGTGGTCTTCAATTTGGAAACATCGTTAAATGCTATTCCGTGTCTCACTTCGGTGTCTGTGTCTCTATGTCAGTTTGTGAAAGATTTTTTTTGAATTTCCAAAGACTAGACCTAGATGATTGATATTTGGCATAAGTATATATAATATACTACAGTAGCACGTGTATAAATAAATTTTTCAGAATTGCATTAATATCATATATCTAGAAACATCAATAATTTTTTATATTGGACGTATTTTCCGACGTATTCATAGAAAGATAAGTTGTCTTGGAATACAAAATTTATTATTATTTACTATTTACTCTTTACATTCATTTATAATTATAGTTAATTTAGTTTTAACAAAATAATGATAATTTCATGGTCCACCAATGAAATGAATCAAATATCGTATATAATATTTGATTCATATCGATGGTCCCATTTTATATTGATTGGCGCCATAAAATAGATTCAGATATTTTTTTACGATCGAGTAGACTTTAAAATTTCATAACTGCAGTTCTATAATCATAAATACTACACATCTAATAAAATAAATTTTAATAAATCACGTTGCATTTTAACTTTTAATGACGCAGGTTTTTGTACACATATTTGGAAGAAAGTGCCATAAAAATTTGCGTAAAAGAATATATTGCTGATGTGAAGCACCAACGCTCTGGGAAGTCTGAAGTATGTCAACATGTTCAGTATCGTCCCAAATATTATATCAGATCTGATAGACAAAAAATCCTCGCAATAGAACACCGATTCCTACCAAGGATCATTCGCGAGGCTATTGAAACTAAAAACATCCTAATTTCAATAGAGAAGATGGTTGGGTGCTACCATCTACTTGGGATCCCATAGTTAATAAAATTAAATTCACACCCAAGCATACCACTCCAAGACTTCAAGATACTGTAACCTCGTCCTGCGTAGATCGAACCAAACAGTAAAAGTAGATTATACTTTTTCGACATCAGGACGTCAAATAATTCAGCCCCCTATCTCCATAGGTTCTTTAAAGCGCCCGAAACGTCAGGATTTTAAAAAGTTATATTTATACACGATAAAATCCTTAAGATTACTTTTTTTGCAAATAAAGTTCTATTCGCAGAGAGTGTCGGCAGAACTGCACTCATCATCAGAAGCAGAAAAATGTTCGCTATGTTGTGGCGGCGAAAGAGAATCCGCCACCTCATACCGTTACGTGTGTGTCCTAAGAGGCGACAGAGGAAAACAAACAGGAGATGGGCAACATCATCTTCCTGACAACCGCCAACCCGCCTGCCAAGCGTAGCAACTATAGCAAATATCCAGCCTATTTGACAATTTATGGGGGAGGCCTATGTTCAGTTCATTGGACTTTTGAAAAGTTATAATGATAACGATGATGAGTTTTATTCTTTCGAATCTTTGCTACCGTTAATATTTACGATACTATGAAAGCAAAAAAAATTACATCTCCGAAAATAAGAATGACATAAAAACAGCATAATTGCTCCATTAAAACTAAAAAAGTAGCAGTCTACATACATGTCACTACTGGGCACAGGCCACAGAGCTTTTGGCCAAAGTGTTCGTTGCGCTGAACCCAACACGCGATCACTTTAACTGGGGAACTTCTCAGATATGCAGGTTTTCTTTTACCGCCGAGAACGTGGTAAATCGATACTTCAAATTGTTATTAAAAATAAATAAATATGTGTAAAAATATATAATAATGCTTATGTACTATGAAATTTACGTTTGGACCAGTTTGAGTACCGCCTTTGACAAGTAAAATAAAATAAACCTTCGTTTAAGTAAAATCTGGCTATCTTTGATATTTAAAGTATTTTTTCGCAACAGCTTGTTCATTTACATAACTTATGTGAGCTATGAAATCATAACGGTCATAAATATCTTGATTTGTCTGATATTTAAAAGAAGATGAAGAAGAATATGAAAACACAAAAATACAAAAATCTTAAATGACAAACCGATTTATAAGTCTCTCATTAAAGGTATAAAATGTAAAGTAGCAGCTTACATACGTCTCACTAATGTGCACAGGGCTCCCCTCATTACCTATAGTGTTTTGTGTGGGTAGAAAAGAGTATGCCGCAATGCTTCAACGCGTATTAACGGTTTTCACATTTCCACGAATTTTTAACTACTCAGACATTTAGGTTTGCCGACGAAGTTATTCTACACCACTTCACCAGATACGTGGTAAGTCAGCACTTAAAATTTCCCATAACAGATTCATTTGTTCTCAAAGGACTCGTACACATTTTGCTCCCGTGCCATGATGAAATCTCACGGCGAGCTACACGGCTCTCGTATATATGTTTAAATAAAATTCATAAAAACTGAAACAAAGGTTTAACTTATTTACATCAGATAACGTAATAACATAATATGAAGTTGGTAAAATGAAAACTATACCGATAGACACCCAATATATTCAACTAAAGAGCTTGTCTCTAGATCTCAGTTTTGTGTACACAGTACTGGATACTTTGCACACAAAACACGATGTTGTGTATAGCAGTCTTGTTAGCCATTTTGCCAAACGTGGTTATTGTGGTAAATCATCCCAATAATTGCCGGTCTAAATATTTGATGCTGCACGAATAAGTATTCAGTAGCATTCTAAAATTTAATTTTATCAGTTACAGTTCCTAGTTTATTTATCAGTATCCTTAGTTTATTTAGCAGAAAGTAGAGGGCGCTATATTATATTAAAACTACGAAAGCCAAAACTATACTATCTAGTAATATCAACTATAGAAGGTTGGGGTGCGACTGGCTTAAGAGCCACCCCAAAGCCGTGAACATTTATTTATAATATAAAAAAGGCATAAAATGATATTGATTCTGTTAAAAATTCCGTTTCTGTTAAAAACACACTATCTAATAGAAATGGTAATGTTGTGTTTATTTATTAATATCGTTAAACGACCTCTATTCATTGATTTGGCTTAACTACATATATCATGACATAGTCAACAAACAGTGATAAATATCATGAACTGATACCATTTCGCGAAATAATGATTTAGTGAGAATTTTGCAATAATTGCACGCAGACCAGTTTTCATCAGTTTACAGAAACAGAAACAGAAACTTTTTTATTCAATATAGATTATAAATAATACTTATTCAAAGTCACTCTTTTGTATAATTACCACTGGTTCGAAAAAATAACCTCTGTCCTGGGAAGAACCAGCAAGAAACACAGCGGAACTTTTTTTTTAAATAACAGCTTACAATCATGTATGTCACACAAATTAACAACACAACAAATTAGAAATAGCTTGGTAGCGATCACCTAATTTCCAGGGGTTATTATCATCTAGAAATTCTTTAATATTATAATAACCCTTTTTCTACAAACTTAGTTTAATAAAGTTTTTGAACTTTGTAGCCTGAACACATACAGATATAGTCACTCTACATACAGATATAGTATGAAACGTATGAAAATTGATATGTTTTTAGTTCGAAAAAATATCAATTTCCACAAGTTTGATAGATATCACTATTATCTGTTTAAATTATTACACTTTTAAAATAAAATAACGAGAAAAAACTAAAAAATTAAACGTTAGGATTTTTAAATTATTTTACAAATCTAATTATTTAAACTAACAAATTTAAGTTATTTGTATTATTTAATTTATTAGTTACTAACGGCAAAATATAGGTTTTATTTTTTCATTTGATAATAGATAGCGTTGTTTTGATAATTAAAACGTATATCGTTTGTGGAGTTTCAAACTAATTTTAAACTGATTTTAAACTTTATTTACAAATATGATATTCATAGGAAAATAACACCCGTCATCCCGCCTATTAACTAACATATATAATAGAAAATTAACATTTAAAGTAAGCAAAATACTTAACCTTTTTTAAAGTTGCGTAATCGGATAAAATATAGCCTATAAGTTGCCCGGGTTACTAACTACCTATATATAAAGTTTAATGGAAATCGGTCCAGTATTTTTTGCGTGAATCGGGAATACACAAACAGACAGACAAAAATTCTAGAAACCACTAATTTGGCTTCAGTAACCTTTATTAACTTTTCTACAGATTTATTATATGTATAGATTATATGAAATCATGAACTAAAAACTGAAAACCGATCAAGTTTTCCAATACTGAAGTATTAAATTTACAAAAAAAAATAACTTTAAATAAAAAGTAGAAGCCGACTTTAAAGTAAGTTCTAAAAATAATGAAATTATTTCCAAACAATAGCTTATGAAGTCGGTGCTCAGACACGTAAAAAAAAGTTAAAGCTCTATTTTTAGACACTATTATGTAGAAATACTTTGTATAAATAAACTCCAACGTGATAATTATGGGAAAATCTTTCAAGGTTTATCACCAGCGAAATTTAGTGTATTGAAAAAGCCAAATGAAAGACGTAAAAGTGATGAAAAAATTCTAATTCTAAATCATCCCCGTATCGTAAAAGATTAGAAAAGGAGTAAAATAGGAGATGAGCAGCAGCGTCATCCTGATAAACAACGCAAAATATAATAAAAAACTGCGATTGACAACCCTACTGTCAAGTGTGGCAACTATGGGGTAGGCCATGTTCAACAGTGGACTTATGATAGCCTGCAATGGAAATATGATGATAATAGGTACATACCGTGGCCTTGGGCTCGTCGTAAAAGTAGGTGTTGGAGTCGCGAGGTAGCTGTGATCGCCGACGCTCCGCAGTGAGCGACTCGCGCCGCGACTGCAGCGCGCGCAACGTTGCACGCCGCGAAGACACGCTACCCCTCAGAGAAGGCAGCCGGGCTATCATGTCTGTCCAATGAATCAATGGCAAATTAAATAACAACAAGGTAGATAGACCAGCAAGAATCGACTTTTTTACATTTTGTGCGAAGTATATACAACTGTGAATTCAACTCGGCTGGGCAGCATTCGGGAAATTTCGACAGATCTTCCCGTCAGATATACCTGAACATGGATCTGAGACGTGGTCCTTCACAGCTGGCCGTATGAGGAAGTTCAAGGTCGCTCAGCGAGCTATGGAGAGTACTAAACTTAGAAGTTAGGATATCTGCAGTAAAAGCAGAGTAACCGACATAGACCAACGGATTATTAAACTGAAGTGGCAATGGGCCAGCCATATAGCTCGAAGAACAGACAATCGATGGGGAAGAAAGGTTCTCGAGTGGTAGCTTCGTACTAGCGAAGTGTGGGGCGGCCTCCCACTGGATGGAGTGACAACCTGGTAAGACATGCAGGAAGTCTATGGATGCAGGTGGCTCAGGACCACGCTTTGTGCCATTCCTTAAGGGAGGCCTATGTTCACCATTGGACTTATGAAGGGATATGATGATGATTATGATGATTATATACAAGTTCTATTTTACAGTCTTTAATGTCGACTGTTTTAAATTCCAAAATTTTTGAGTATTCCATAGCATCCATTGTCACAAAGGACTGTGTCCAACATCATAGTCCTTGGTGACAATGGACTAAGATGTCCATTGTCACAAATTTGACAATTCCTAATAAAACAGGTAGCCCGGGTTAATATCATATTTAACCGGGGCTACCTGTTTTAACGCTGAAGTCCGGACTCGTTTCAAACCTAAGAATCAAGATAAAATGCCTCATACTCAGTCATTATATATTTCGCGATATCCTCCTTGTGAATTTCAATCATTATTACATTATTTTTATAGATAAAAACTGATATGTATTGTATTAAATTGCTTTAGCAGAAACCAAGATATTGCAAGCAGTCAATATTCTGATAGTAATTAAAGTGAAAGAATATCATGTTACTCACCGGGATCAGCGTTTTGAAGTAATGTCAACCGTCTCTTGAAATTAGCGTCTAAATTGATAACACTATGCTTGTTGTCGCGAGTGCGCTCCAAGTTGTGAAGAGTCTTACGTCTAGACACATTCGCATTGTCTACGCCGCGTCTCTCAAGATCATCCGTGTTCAATTTCTGAAGGTCTTTGGCAATTTCTACAGCTTGTTTTTCTATTAACGCTTGCTCTGTCATCTCGTCAGGCTTTCGAATAAATAACGTATTAGTATAATTGCCAACCCAATCTGAACCTTAGCAATATAAGTATTTCGATTTTGATGACTAGTAAAATAACATGAATAAACTACAATCAGTAGTTTTAAGGGTTGTTGCCGCTCGAAGCCGCTTGAGCCAAAAATACCACCCAATTTTCGCATGTAGTTTCTACTACTGCGTCCGTGCGTGCTTGCAGCGTGCGTGCGTGCGTGCGGGCGTGCGTGCGTGCGTGCGTGCGTGCGTGCGTGCGTGCGTGCGTGCGTGCGTGCGTGCGTTCGTGCGCGCATACGTACCTGCGTGCGTGCGTGAGTGCGTGCATGTGTACGAGCGCGCATGCGTATGTACGTGCGTGAGTGCGTGCGTGCGTGCGTGCATGTGTACGTGCATGCATGCGTGCGTGCGTGCGTGCGTGTGTGTGATAGAGCGCGTATGTGGGTTCGTGAGAATACTAGTTTGCAAAATTTCAAATGGTTTAGACTTCTGAAAGTGGGTGAAAACTAAATTGTAAAACTCCAGTACGTTCGTAACATGTATACGAGTTATTCTAATAAAGCGTCAAAAAAATCGTCAACTTACCTTTTTAGTGAAGTACCAATTGAGCCGAGTAGTAGATAGTAAATGTGTAAGAGTCCCGAGACGATGGAATATCATAGCAACAAACTGGGTAACCATGACAGTTCCGAAGAAAATTAGGAAAAGGGATCCAATCGGTTCCAACATCAGATATTCACGCTCCAAATATACCTTGAATAGTATAAATCATCTACATTATGAAACTGCTTGGACATATCATTATTGACGCCTATTAATGTCCTAAATTATAATATTCTCAATTTCCAAGGCTATACCGGCATTTTTCGGATGTGGTCGGCTCTCACAGAATACCAGCGTTAAATAGTAACTTTATGCTGCTGTGTTTCGTATGTTGAGTGTAGAGAACCGGAGACCCTTTTTACTGGAAACGAGGCATTCCATATTAGTCATCAGGGGTGACAACGCATCTGCAGTTTGATTCTTAATTGAGGATAAATGTAGATATCTATGGGTCACAGCATCCACTTAACATTAAGTGGACTGTGTGCTCGTATGCCACCCATGTTATATTTAAAAAAAATATTTTCACAAGTCCACAGCTGTAGGCCTCTCCAGGAACGCAACGAAACACGGTTCTGAACCACCAGCATCCATCAATTTGTTCGGTGGATCTTTCATCGGAAGACAAGACATACTACCAGGTCATCACTTCATTTAGTTGGATCCACCCAATACTTCGGTTACTTGTACGAGCCTGCCACTCGAGAACCTTTTTTCATCGGTTGTCGGTTCTTCAAGCTATATATACGAGTCTGCCACTCGAGAACCTTTTTTCATCGGTTGTCGGTTCTTCAAGCTATATACGAGCCTGCCACTCGAGAACCTTTTTTCATCGGTTGTCGGTTCTTCAAGCTATATATACGAGTCTGCCACTCGAGAACCTTTTTTCATCGGTTGTCGGTTCTTCAAGCTATATACGAGCCTGCCACTCGAGAACCTTTTTTCATCGGCTGTAGGTTCCTTAAGCTATATTATGACCCATGCATGACCGGTCTATAGCCACTTCAGGTTGCTGATCCGAACCGATAACACAATTGTTTTCAGTTTGATAAATATACGTTCAATATTATACTATCGAATTATATATTTAAATAATAAATATCGAAAGAACAAAACAACTTACCATATTGACATCGTTATCATAAAAAATTGCTACTTTTTGTCCTAGTGGCCATTTAAAATGTAGTTTATCCTGATTAAGCTGCAGGAGGAAAATCACCAACACAAAAAGAGCATTCAACATGACAAAAGCGAACACCATTGTATCGCGGAGATTCTTCAAATCTGTTTTAACACGTTCCTGAAAATATCACATCGTTAATAAGGTGTTTAGACCCTATTTAAGGCCTACCTAAGCTGTTCTGCAATACTTGACATTGGCGATTGCCTTAGCAGGCATCTCACACCTCTAACGCTGGTCCTCGAACTGCGTAAAGTTGCATTTATATTTACAGCCTTTATACGTCAACAACTGGGCACAGGTCTCCCCTCATATCTGAGAGGAATTGACGGCAATTAAGTGATTGCCGCGCTGGCCCAATGCCCAACTTTACATGTCTTCGAAATATTTTGTAATTTCTTAGACATGCTGGTTTCCTCACGGCGTTTTCCTTCACAGCATAGTCGGTGGTAAATCAGCACTTAATATAACATAAACACTCACGCCTGTCACCCAGAGGGGTAGGCAGAGATTATGGACTTCCATTTGGCACGATCCAGACACACCTCTCTCGCTTCCTCCACATCCATATACCTACGCATACACGCTCGTCGGTTAAAGGTACTCTTGATTTGGCCCATTTTTAATATATCGCCAATTTGGTCGATAAACTTTCGCCTAGGGCGACCCTACCCGACTATGCCGTTCACCTCTGCAACATAAATTTGCTTTGTCACTCTTTCCTCATTCATTCTTTCTACATGGCCAAACCACTGAAGCATTCCTTTCTTAATCCTGGTCACAACATCATCTTGCAAACCACGCTCTTCTCTTATTAAACAATTTCTCACTCTGTCATTCAGATTCATCCCTAACATACTCCTTAATGACCGCATTTCTACAGCATTTATTCTACTCTCGTGCTTCTTCTGCCACACCCAACTTTCACTACCATACATTAAAGTAGGTACTAACACAGCATTGTGAAAAATTAAATTGCAATTATTTATTTCATTAGTGCCGGGTCACATCGAACCCGGGTTGCTTCGTTTTACGGTGAGTTCTTAGCCTCTAAACTACAAGTACCATGGGTCACCTCTGCATCTAATTATTTAATTTTGAGTCGTCTCAAATCACAAGTAAAGACACAGAAGGAGATTCAGATAACGCAATTCAACGTGAACTTTAAAGAGAAATGTTCTAATTAATTTTTAGAATAATATACTAACGTGAAAGAGAATTGTTATCGCTCAGAGTAAGACTTGAAACTTGAACTGAATATATCACGAATTTATAAGGCTAAGCTTTTTATTGACATATTATATCTAATTAGAAACGCCCCCATTGCAAGGTTAGTTTTGTAGTCAGGCTTAACTATCACGATTATTTGCTTATGTAACAATAACATAATTTTGTCAGAGAACATATCTTTCATAGCGTCAAATTATAAACTTATGAATGTAGTTTTTATATTTATTTTACCCAGGTAATAAACAAATTATACTCACTAGTTCTTCTTTATTTTCATCAATCGGCCTTAAGTAAGCATCAATTAAATCTTTCCAAAACTCAGTTTCAGCTGTCGTCAAAAAATCTACTTCACCCTTTTGCAGATTGGGATCCTCTATCCAATATGGATTAATTAAGTCATCTCTTTCTTCCTGAATGCAATGAAAAAAATGAATAAATATATCAAAAATTAAGTTGATAATTATTATTAACATATACTATTTAACAGTTTAATTTAAAATGTCTGCTAAAATATAAATTACTTAATTAAAAAATTTTGACCATCTAAACAATAACAAAGATTATGAAAGATTAATTACTCTTGGTATATCCGTAGAATCTTCACTGTCGTCATACTCCGGAAGCATTGACAGAGTGTCGCTGCGTAAGGGCATTGAGGAGCGACGTCGGGGCGCAGCCTCTACCTCCGGTGGAGCACCCCTGAATAATTTTTATACTTAAATATATTTCCATATCACAGGTTATCATTTCTATAATAAATGTACAGTTACACATTTGTGAATTAAATCAGTTCTGTTTCAAAAACGCTTAAGCATCCTGATTTTTTACTGAATACTCAAAACAACAGACCTGAAATAAACTTCTAAAAGAAAACTTGGCACCGGCCTGTAATGTTCGCCAATAGAAAATTAAATGTTTTTTTTTATATAAAATATGGGTGATAAACGAACACACAGTCCACCTGATGGTAAGTGGATGCTGTGGTCTATAGACATTAATCAAAATCCAGATACGTTGTCACCTCTGAGGACTAAAATGAAATGTCTTATATCCAGTAAAAAGGTTCTTCTATTCTCTACATTCACCATACGAAATACAGCAGCTTTGTTACGGCCTACGGCTGCTCCCTTAAAGGATCCAATCCTCTGGGGCCCATGAGCAGAAGACTTCCCGAGCAAACGTAGGTCGGGCCTCAATGTGGCCACGTGGAATCTCTCGAATTACACTAAAATATATGGGGGAGCGTTCTATACTACGGCCAGTCGACCGGCAGACGAATTAGGCGGAGTTTACTTACCGATATCCAAGACGACTGGTCCCTCCGGAGTCGGTCAGGTCACATGTGGTTGTGTAGTGAAAGGGAAATAAGTGATGTGATGTGTATCTGGGTGTGACTGATGGTGATTGAACCTAGACCTTGGCCGTCGGCAGCAGCCCGAGCGTCGACACCGCTCCAACTTGAGGGGGCTTCCGAGGTTGTCCACCGTCACTTTCTTCTTTCGTCACGTTGACAGTCAATTAACTCTATCGTACGATTAACTAACTTACAGAAGCTACTAACTATCGCTGGTTATAAGGTTATCGCCCAAAACGCGCACGGATTTTCTGGGTCAAAGGTCACTACCGTTTCGCGTTGCAACAGTTAGTTCTAGAATACAGAGGCCGCACTAGCTAATATTGTCGAATGCACTTATACAGATTCTGAATCGGACCCAATAAGTCCCGGGGAAGCTCTCCAGTAGGGATACGCGCCACAAAATTCCTAGACCGTATTTTTACTGTCCGCGCTTAATTATTCCGAGTTCCCGCGCTTAATTGGCAGCGTGCCAATTGTTAGCACACCTGACAGACGACTGACTTTTCACTCGCGACCCGCGCGCCACTGCACGCTCGGAAGAACTTCAAACCGGTATCGCCCAGAGCCGCGCGCCCCCTAGACGTCGATTCCGACAACAGCGTTTTGCGCGAACAAACCCCCGTCCCGGACATAAGGATTTAGGTCCGCGAGCAAACCGGTCAGTGGGACAAGGTCGAGACTGCAAGTTGCAAGACTGAATCTACAACCAAACTAGGCCACCTTAGACAACCCATCAGATCTTGCAACCCTAACCAACGCCTCAAAAGATAGCCCTAATGTGGCAAGCCGGAGGGTCAGCCTCCACTGGATGCCCCTCCTGGGCATCGCAGCACTTTAATAAGTCCTGTACTGGACAGAAGTCCGACGACCTCTTTCAAACACCTATCTGTGCCCCTATGATTAGTTCCGCAATCCGACCGGATCAGCTCTGCAAACAGCGACGCTACACGAAGCTGCCCAGACAAATTTGTGCCAGCAGTTGCTTCAGTGCAGAGCGCACCCACAAATTCCACATGAACGTCGTCTGTGGAGAGCCAAACGAAACGCACAGATAGTCCCTAGTATGAATTTTCAACAAGTAGGCCTAGCCAGGCCACCCACCATATTATCATTTACTAAAATAGTGCGGCAGCTGATTTCAATCTGATAATCTCCAAAACTAGCTAGCCGGTTAGGCAAGTAGTCCTATGCTCATATTTCAACTAATTTTTCAAAAGCATCAATGTGCAACTATAGAATTAATTCAACCAAATTAATCACCGATGCGCATAGGTCAACTTGCAAATTAAACAAAACAATAACGTAAGGGACAGCCCTACTTCTTCGCAAAGCAAAATGATTAAACACTATCATAAACATAAACATAATTTTTCAAATAGTGCGCCATTCCATTTCAGATGAATTCAAATTTTCCTTTCAGCAAACAGACGCAACAATCAAATACAGTGATTAAATATATTTACAAAACACATGCAGTAGCATTTAAAGGAGTAGATTAAATTCAATTCTTTTAATTTAAACGGCTACAAATAGGAAAATTTCGCGGAAAGCCCAAAGCAATTTTTAATTTTAATTCAAGTATTTTTTTTTTGACTAAGTGCTCGACCAAACCAAATCTAATACCCCTTTACAGCGTGATTCAACGCTCCAGAGGGGCCCTAATCTTCCCACCATCAAGGGGAGGCCACATGGCGTGAACCCGAGATCGCTAACAGTCGCCACTCGGGTTGTACGCCTTCACTGAGGCCGTCGGCAACAGAACATTTTGACAAGTGGACTGTTGACGGCTTAAGGCTCAGTGGAGGTGGCCGTGGTGGGAGCTAAGGCGGCAGCTAGCCAGGGCCGCCTCCATCAAATGGGGAACAGTGGTACACCAGTCGCGGCCACTCAGCTAACGGGAGTGAGAAGGGTCCAGCGGACCGATGAGTGGCCGTGAAGTTCCTCTCCACACGCTTAGGGGGGGGTGATGACACCCCCGCCCCTGGGGGAATTACCCCCCGACTGGTCGGGGGAGGGACCCCTTTCAAACTTAGGGGCCTGATGGCTGGCCGGCAGGCGCCGAGAGTCGCCCGGCAGAGGGCGTGGCTGAGCGCCCCCGCCCGTTGGGGTCGAGGGCCTGGCAGTGCCCTGAGAGGAGACGCCGTTCGCACTCAGGCACAAAACGGCATGATGATTGCCCTGGCAATGCAGACAGGGCCGCCGATGCGGACAGTCTCGCTGGAGGTGTCCTCCCAAACATGAGCAGCACCAGCGGCGCTCCTTGGCGATAGTTCGCCTCGCTGGAACCGGCTTACCTAATAATTTCGGGCACGACGTTAGCCGATGATCAGATGCTCGACAATAGGAGCATGGGGGGGTTGACGACGACTTGCCTGGAGGATTCAGCCTCTCACTGGGCACGGCTCGTAAGTCGTCAACGGTGCCCGCCGCGCTCTCTATCTGCCAGCACTGCTCCTCCAAAAACCGCAGCAGGTCATAGAAGGGCGGAATATAGGAGGCCTCGTCCCCGCCGTACCTCTCCTCAAAATGGATTCGAAGGTCGAGAGGTAGACGGGACAGCACGATGCGGAGCAACAAAAAAGCCCATTCGCCCACTGATAAACCCAGCCGCCTCAATGTATTACAGGCCACCAAGACTGGATCCAACAGGTCCGGACGCAGTCTGGCCCGTTCACTAAGCAGCGGGAGGCTTAGAAGCTGCTTAACATGTTCGTCCGCAATTCGCCGGACGTTGGCGTATCTTCTGGCTAGGAGGTCCCGAGCAGTCTGGTAGGCGTCGTCCGACAATCTCAAGTGGCCGACGACGCCCAGGGCCTCCCCCTCCAGTGAGGCCAGGAGGTACACCATCTTTTGGCTCGGGGTCAAGTCACTCCGGGCGTCCACTAGGCTGTCGAAAAGACCAACGAAGGTCAGCCATTCGGTAAGGACCCCGGAGAACTTTGGCAGGTCCAGAGTTGGGAGTCGTCCCAACAGCTCCGGCTGAAGCTGCTTCAGAGAGGACTCGGACAGGTCACTCATCCGAGCTTCACGCGCCTCCTCGGCATACCTGCCTTCAGCCTCGATGAACTCGTCCGTGAGCCACAAGAACTGCTCATAGTCCGCGAAGCAGGAGTCCAGGACTCCCTTCTCCACATCCGAATCCTCGAGCTCAGCGTAAGCCTCCTCCACTACGGCCCTTCGAGCATCCACCTGCTCGAACCGCTTCATCAAGTTATGGACCCTATCCGGTCGACCTATCAAAGCATGGCCGCTTGTGGCCCAGCGTAGCTCAGTCCGCAAACAACGGATCAGTAGCTTGGGCGATGTCATCACTATTAAATACAAATTACGACGCGGCTCGAGCACAAATTACAAAGATAACAAACAAAAAATACAACAAAAATTAACAGTTAATAAATGCAGTTCCTATCAAATCGCGTTGAATAGAAATTACACAAATACGAATTACTACGTATCAATCAAATACAAGTTAGCTCAAAAGAAAAGACACAATCAAATTATCAAATAACAAATACTAGTGCGATGAAATCAAGTTAAATTCAAAGTACGCAAATACAATTACTACTCTTTAGTTCAAATACAAATTACAGTATAAACGAAGATACACATCACGGTCGATCAACAAAAAATGCCTAGCTCGGAAATCGAACCTTCGATAAGTAATCCACTACAACTATCCGACAACGATAATTAACCGATTACGTAAAAATAACCATCTACCTACATGACGTATATCTCTAGAAAAACTCCCGCTTGCGCAACCTAGGGCGCGGCTTTTCAAACTACCTACTAACCAAAAAAAAAAGGCAAGCAACAAACAACAAAGGGAAATAATTCTATTATTACGTACAAAAAAATATTTTTACGTATTACGAACGGGCGTGATTGTAGATACAAATTAAACCAATCTCACCAACGCTCCTTGCCACCAAAATTGTTTAATGTTTATCTAGCACTATGGTCGGGATCGACCGGGAATCGAACCCGGAACCACGCTCTGCTACCAGTTTGTTACGGCCTACGGCTGCTCCCTTAAAGGATTCAATCCTCTGGGGCCCATGAGCAGAAGACTTCCCGAGCAAACGTAGGTCGGGCCTCAATGTGGCCACGTGGAATCTCTCGAATTACACTAAAATATATGGGGGAGCGTTCTATACTATGGCCAGTCGACCGGCAGACGAATTAGGCGGAGTTTACTTACCGATATCCAAGGCGACTGGTCCCTCCGGAGTCGGTCAGGTCACATGTGGTTGTGTAGTGAAAGGGAAATAAGTGATGTGATGTGTATCTGGGTGTGACTGATGGTGATTGAACCTAGACCTTGGCCGTCGGCAGCAGCCCGAGCGTCGACACCGCTCCAACTTGAGGGGGCTTCCGAGGTTGTCCACCGTCACTTTCTTCTTTCGTCACGTTGACAGTCAATTAACTCTATCGTACGATTAACTAACTTACAGAAGTCACTAACTATCGCTGGTTATAAGGTTACCGCCCAAAACGCGCACGGATTTTCTGGGTCAAAGGTCACTACCGTTTCGCGTTGCAACAGTTAGTTCTAGAATACAGAGGCCGCACTAGCTAATATTGTCGAATGCACTTATACAGATTCTGAGTCGGACCCAATAAGTCCCGGGGAAGCTCTCCAGTAGGGATACGCGCCACAAAATTCCTAGACCGTATTTTTACTGTCCGCGCTTAATTATTCCGAGTTCCCGCGCTTAATTGGCAGCGTGCCAATTGTTAGCACACCTGACAGACGACTGACTTTTCACTCGCGACCCGCGCGCCACTGCACGCTCGGAAGAACTTCAAACCGGTATCGCCCAGAGCCGCGCGCCCCCTAGACGTCGATTCCGACAACAGCGTTTTGCGCGAACAAGCTTTAAGCTGCTATTTTACGCTGGTATTCTGTGAGAGCGTGGTCCTAGCTCGGTCGAGCCGACTCACTCGTACTAGAACCATAACACAGCTGCAGTATGCTGCAGCTATGTTTGGTTACTTTTTAGAGTCATAGCTCTACCACGTAAAAAAGTCGGAACGATCTTGGCGGGTATGCCGCCTCTGCGCTATCTTAACTATTTTAGCCACAATGTCGAAACTTCTAATCAAAAAACGCTTCGTTTTTTGATTAGAAGTTATGTTATTGAAGTTTCGGAACAACTCTACATATAATATAAAACCAGCTGTGACCTACAGTACGGAGCATTGACTGCTCCCTGGATTCAAAACCTTGCCCAATGAAAGACCTCCCATTTTTCATCTTCAGCCAAACAAGCAATATTTTTTATGCTCAAATTAAATAGTGAGTATACTAACAAAGATTCTAAACGCTTTTCAATCTTCTCAAGCGATGTAGCTATCTGCAGTAGGTGTAAGTCTTCTTTATGATCCTTAGGATTAGTGCAGCACATGAATTTGAATAACCCTGATATGCTACATTCTAAAGACCCGCTCGTTTCCTCTGATTTACCGAACCATTTCATGATGCTTTGAGTCTCCATCTTTTTCTTAGCTTCCTCCGTCGCCTTCTTTTCCATTTCTAACTCCTACGACATCCATAAATAAGCATAGATTAATACGTACAGCATATCTATTGTAATATGGAACACATTATTCTGTAATGATTGTTTACATCTACACATTAGTCCTTACCGTGTAGTGGCGGTGTAAGAATATCCACAACCCGTCATCCCATAGGTGACGTAAGAGGCGACAGAGGGAAGCAAATCAGGAGATGGGCAGCAGCATCGTCATAATAACAACTATAAATAAAAAAACTGCGATTGCCAACCCGCTTACCAAGCGTACCAACTATGGCAAATATCCCATCTATGAAGCAATCTATGTGTGAGGCCTATGTTCAGCAGTGAACTTTAATAGGCTGTTACGGTAACGGAAACATATTAGTCCGGAACCGTCCAATAATGGATAGGGGCATCTCACCTGATAGAGAGCAATTGTCGTAATCGCTTGACAGGCGGAATATGGATCGTAGTATCAAACGTCTTACGTTGCTTGCTTATGTTGCTGCTTTCACCGCTGATCGTTTATGCTGCCGTTGATGGCAAGTTACAAAAATTTCCGGGTATTTCACAAAGTCGCTTCCTATAGTACCCACAAATTGCAATAGGATGATGGATATTCTTATGTTTGAAACATGATTTTTCTTTTAGTAACAGACTGTATAATATGCATACATGTTTCTTATATTGTAGTTATTGGCTGTGTCAGGGGAATTACTATGCTTTCACAGAATAGCAGGGTGGAATAGCAGCTTAATTCTGCTGTGTTTCGTATGGTGAGTGTAGAGAACCGGCGACCCTTTTTACTGGCAACGAGGCATTCCATCTTAGTGGTGATCTTAGGGGTAACAATGCGTCTGCATTTTGATTACTTAATCGAGGATAGGTGCAGTTGTCTATGGGCCACAGCATCCTCTTTCTATCAAGTGGGCTGTGTTCACTTGTAACCCTTATTCTATAACATATCTACAGTACTTACCTTAAGCGTTTTCTTCTGCACGACTTCTCGGGTGCCCCACGATACGTTATTCAAATTACACAATGAATATATAATCAATAACATGTACATGCTCGGAATTGTAATGTAGTATACTGATAAATATAACAAACAAATCATTTCCTGTGGATGCAGTGCCGCGGTTATGAAGAATATGCCAAAAGTTATTACTGTGAACATACTAGATGGCGCTAACCAGCCGTCTTCTACTATTTGAAGAGCTATTCCCACAATCACCATCAACATTAACATGGCATATACACATGTGATTGCGTTCGCAAGCATTAACTGAAACAAGTTAAAGAAAATTTAAAAGGTTAAGGAACACTCAATAGGGTTAAAGTAACGTAAAAACTCAATCCAAAATATGCCAAAACAAAAAAGTAAAGTAAATAAAAAAAGCATTGCGTTTAACTTCGTACCTGTATTTCAGATTTGCACGTCATGCAAACTGCTAAGAATACAAGAACCGGTACAAGGTTTAGTAAAAGGGAATTCATAATACTCATGCCTGTGATAGCATTCATCGCTCCAACCATCATAAGGAAAATCGTGCCAGGTCCCAAAATCGTACCTAACATCAACATCATCTGAAAATGAATGATTAAATTTACTTTACACTTGGAAGGTGCTATTATGGGCCCGATATTTTAATGGGCTAATTTCAACATATCTCCAAATTTGTGGTCCATAGGATCTCATTTTAATGTTCAAAAGGGAGGTTTGCATGTGAGGGATGTGTGGGACTATTTCGTCTCGCATATCTCTAAGTTTGCGTAACGAAGTTACGATTAGTCATCAAATCAGTAGTTTACAGATTTCACCAAGGCAGTCTGAACAGTCATTTTTATTCCTCGTAATCTAAATTAATTCTGCTTAGGAAGGCCTCCTAATATGTTCGATTATTAACTGATGACAAAACGATGTTGCACAACTATGACCAGCATCAGGTTTTCTTTATATTCTACTAAGCCAGCGCTTATTTACGATCCCACCTGATGGTAAGTGGTGATGTAACCTAAGATGGTGTAGCGCACTGACTTAACAAAAGCCTATTCACTCTTGCCTTGAATACACCCACACTGTAATCGGATGGAAAGACAGATGCTGGCTACTTATTCCACTCCTTTGCTGTACGCATGATAAACGACGTGGCGAACCGTTTGGTTCGAATGCATGGTAAGTCAACAACGAAAGGGTGGAGACTGGCCGAACGTCTGCTTGTCCGATGGTGGAAGGGAGAGGGTGGAATCAAATTATGTAATTCCTGCACACACTCTCCGAAATGCATCCTGTAGAAAACCGAAAGGCTGGCTACTTTAAGTCTGTGTTCGAGGCTGGTAAGATTGGTTTTAACCAAATTATGGTCACCAATAAGCCTCTTAGCACGCCTTTCCATTGAGTCTAGAGCTGCTAGGTGGCATTTTGCAGCACCAGCCCATATATGGCAGAAATACTCCATGCACGACCGGACTTGCGCTTTATATAAAGTAAGCAGCTGTCACGGCGTGAAATATCGCCGCACCTTTGCATGCTTTGGCCTTGGACTCAATAAACCGCCCGAAGTTCAAATTTGAGGATATTTCAAACCCTAACAACTGAAGGCGGTCGGTGTATTTCAGTGATACATTTCGGAAAGAAGGAGCCAAGGTGAGCTGGCTCCTTTTTGCAGTGAAGAAACACGCTTGTGTTTTGGAGGCGTTGAACTTCACAAGATTGGCATCGCCCCAATCGGAGACTGCCTGTAATGTGAGATTCACACGCTCTACCATAGCTTCTCTTTCGGACTGGATTTGATCCTGACTGGCCCGAGGACTTGGTTGGTATCTCTCAACAACTGTGCTATCGTCCGCATACCCATAGATACCGGGCATAAGCAGATCATAAATATACAGCAGGAAGAGAGTTGCGGAGAAAACGGACCCCTCAGGAACACCGGCGTTAGTCGCCATAGGATCGGATGAGCAGCCATCGACGACGACCCGGAGAGACCGTTCACTCAGAAAGTCCTTTACCAATTCAATCAGACCAGGGGATAAGCCGTACGCTGGAAGCTTACCCAAAAGGCTAGTGTGCCAAACTCTGTCAAAGGCCTTCAAGACATCAAGGGAAACAGCAAGTGCTTCCCCACTGTTCTCGAGTGCCTCGCCCCATACGTGTGTCATACGCTAGAAGGTCCCCAGCTGACCGATTTCGGCGAAACTGTCACTAAGGAGGTCATTCTGTTCTAGGTATGCCATTAAGCGAGCATTCAATATACGCTGCATAATCTTGCAGAGTATGGAGGTAATTGAGATTGGACGATAATTGGCAGGGCCGGCGCGGCTGCCTTTTTTTGGAACAGACTGCACTTTAGCCAGCTTCCAGGATTTTGGCACTATTCCAGTACTAAATGAGAGGCGGAACAAGCGTGTCAACACAGGAGACAACTCAGGTGCACAAGCCTTTAGGACTATAGCTGGTATACCATCTGGTCCATTCACGTCTAGAGACCGCAAGATTTTAAGAACCTCCTTATTCGTTATACGAATCTCCGACATAGAGGTCCCGCAGTGAGGTAATTTTGATGGAACGTTATTGCCACTGTCCAGACGTGAATTGTAGGCAAAGAGAGACGCGAACAAGTCCGCTTTCTCCTTAGCCGTATAAGCCAGTGTTCCATCCGGTTTTACCAACGGAGGCAGTGTAGGCCGACAGAAGTTTGTCTCGACCGTTTTGGCGAGAGACCAAAAAGCTCTAGTGTCGGATGATCTGGCAGAGTGTTTTGCGCCAATATATTTAATGCGATCGGGACTAGCTTTCCGTAATCCTTTTCGTAGGACTTCGCGGTGTGGTTGAAAGTTCTCTTCTTGGAGCTAATATAACATTGCGGTTTCGAGCGTCAACCCAGGATAGGTAAGCTAAATGCTTGCGCTTTTCAGCTTGGGCGCATTCAGCGTTAAACCATGGGTGAGCTTTGCTACCGGTGGGAGCGTCAGAGAAGGGGATAATCCATAGCTTGACGCAACACATCCGTTATCGCAACCGCGCAGCTCGACGGATCCGTAGAAGAGAAACAAACCTCCCGCCAAGGGATGCAGATAAGATGCAAAAAAGTGTCGCATCTGATCTCAATCAGCCGACTTATACCGCCATATTCGTCGAACACCTTGGGACTCGTAATCAGGTGGAGAATATGACGATACAGACTTCGCCAGACAGTGGTCAGATGTACCCACAGGAGAAGTAACCTGTACTTCATATCTGTCTGGTTCGGTAGTCAGCAGAAGGTCCAAGCAATTTGCTGTGTGACCGTCTACATCGGGTATCCTAGTCGCCACCTTTACTATCTGAGAAAGACCTAGTGTCAAAGCAAAATTCCACGCTTCTCTTCCAGCATAGTCGGTCGTTTGGTATGGGAACAGCCAGTCTTGGTGACAAGCGTTAAAGTCCCCCAGAAAGACCAACTGTGCAGTAGGATACCGATTCAGGGCCACGTCAGCAGCCTCACTAAGGTGATTAAATAATCGTGTTATCTCCTGGTCACCGCTGTGCAATCGATAGACACAGGCATAAAGGATTTTATCAATACCTGTATCTACCATCACCCAGATTGTCGAAAAAGTGGGGTCTTCAAGGTGACAGAGACGCTGGAAGCAGATGTCATTGCGGACGTACACACATACTCCGGCACGTGGATGGAATTTGTGCTCCAGGGAGAATCCAGGGTAGTCAAGGTACGCCGCACTCAATGGACATCCAATTTGCGTCTCTGTCAAGAAAAGTAGGTGCGGCTTTTCTGTCTCAAGATGGTGATGGACTGCGCTGAGATTAGAGTGCAATCCTCGTATATTAGTGAGGTGCACTTTTAGTGAGGGGACGTGCAACCGCTGTTTAACACTAGGTACTTTTCTTTTTTATGTAAATATTAAGTGTTGAGAGCGAATAAGGATGGAGAATGGCAGTTGAGCGAGGCGTTGCATTAGCAACCAAACGATACTATCAGAATTACCCATGGGAGCTTGATCTGGAGACTGCGGGGACGCCCGAACCCCCCCAGAGATCGCCATCGGGTCCTCTCGCCCGGTCGCTAACCGGCACGATGGGGACACCCTGGGATTTTTCGCCAGTTGGCGGGGCAGCCTTTCATGAGTAGCTAATTCACTAATTGGGCCCCCAACAACCTGCGGTCGGCCAGCGGAACACCGTGCTTCGGATCCCACTACCCTACACGACCAAGCACCCGACACAGCAACAACTGACGCTTCGTACCCGGTTTAGATAGTAAAGATCTAAAATATATAGCTAACTATCGTGGACAATTGTTAATTTCACATGCTGCTGCTGCAGCTATTTTAGCGTTATAGCACGAACGGCTCGTTTCGACCGGGGAAGTACCACGCTCTCACAGAATACCAGCGCAAAATAGTAGCTTAATGCTGCTGCTTCGTTTCTTATGGTGAGTGTAGAGAACCGGAGACCCTTTTTTACTGGAAACGAGGTGTTCCATCTTAATCCTCGCGGGTGGCAACGCATCTACATTTTCATTTGTAATCGAGGATAGATGTAGATGTCTATGGGCCACAGCAACCACTTACCATCAGGTGGATGGTGGTGGTGGTGGTGTGCTTGGTTGTCACCCTCATCCTATAAAATAAAACTAAAAAAAATCACGTAAAAGAACATAATATAGCTGTCGTGAAAAACCAAGGCTCCGGGAAATCTTCAGTCTGTGATCATATACTAGACAATCTCCCCCATTACATCAGATTTAATAGACAACAAACCCTAGCGAAAGAACATAGATTACTAACAAAGATGATTCAAAAAAATCCAGATTTAAACAGAGAAGGCGGTGGGTACTGCTACCTGCATGGGACCTTCTAATGAATAATATTAAATCCAAATCGAAGCATACCAGTGCAACACTTCCTCAAAGAGTAGGCTTATTCTGTGTAGATCGGATCAGAATTATTTTTTAAAAGCTAAAAGTACTCCCGGGGCTGTAAGTACTAGAAACGTCAGCAGTTGAAAATAAATATAATAAAATTAAACGCGATGAAATCCGTAAAAGTAGTTTTATGAAATTTTTTGTTCCATAAAATGATATCAATAACGTACCTGGTATACTATATAGAGCGTAGATATGTTATCGTTAATTCTAACAGTGTGTTTAGAGTCTGCCAATAAATCAAAGATATTGGCGATAGTGGAAGGGACCCAACGACGGCGTTGATTAAAGAACTCGTCAAAACGCTCTGGACAGTGTGTGTAAGCGTCGGAAGCAGCTGAGTACTCCACCCGATAACCACGCTGTAGAAGTAAAGTGCACAGCCAACGATCTTCCCCTAAAAGCACAAGATTTAAAGTCTATTAGCGAAATTATATAATAAAAGATGTACGTCTAATAATGTCCTACCACCGCGTCTACTTTCCAATAAAGTCAATGCAAATAATTGGTTTGATATAATAGTGTCACAAGTGAACAAGCGAGTGTAGGAACGGGCTATGTTGCAGTCGCTCCAACTAAAAGCCCATGATGTTCTACCTTCTACTAACCACCCCTGCGGGCAAAGTACACCGGAGTACATGACGCGCTTTCTTACACGAAAAAAACGAGTATACGAAAGGCCCAGCTCGCCCGGCCAGTTTGGAGAGCTACGCCTCATAACGCCTACACTCTTCACAAATCCTCCTATTGTTCAGGAAGAGAAGTGTAACGTTCATCCAGATACTTTGCGCAAATGAACCTAGCTGATTTGAGCGGGGACAATCGAATGATTCGTTCCCGCGTCAGTGACAGTGCACTCGAGTCGCTTAATTCGAGTTACAACAGCTTAACAATGAAAAAATCGCCAAATTACGATGATACACAAATAAGGTCCGCAAAACTATGACGATAGATAAAATTGTAATTCATTTTCTATTAGTTATTGAGAAAACAAGTGCCCTTGCCATTAACGATAATATACTTTCACAAACTTACCTTGATCATACTGGACATAATGACGAGCTTCGTTAGACGTGAGTGTGTACTTCTTCATAACGTTATCGTCCATCAAAGCCTTCCCACGAAAGAGTGAAAAACATCCCGGACTACAGAGTACACAACCAATCATGTGTTCCGTTGCCTTTTGCAGCCAATGACCAATAGCATACTCAAACATTTGATACCACGCCATAAAACCTATAAAATATACAATGGCTATTATAGAACCAGGGAATAAATTATCTTCCAACCGACCTTCCAAATTTAAATCAGAATTCCAAGTGAAGACAAGTTTTGACGTGATTTTATTAGTACAGCACAAAAACAGGGCCTTAATCTTTACTTTATTAATGATCATCATCATCATCATCATCAGTACAGTCCTTCACAAGTCGTAGGCCTCCCCCAAGGAATGCCACAAAGCACGGTCTTGAGCCACCTGCATCCATCGACTTCCTGCATGTTTTACTAGATCGTCACTCCATCTAGTGGCGGGACGCCCTACACTTCGTCCGCTGGTATGAAACCGCCACTCGGGAACCTTTTTCCCCATCGGTTGTCAGTTCTTCGAGCTATATGGCCGGCCCATTGCCACTTCAGCTTACTAATTCGTTGGGCTATGTCGGTCACTCTGGTTCTACAGCGGATATCCTCTTTTAAGACGCAGAGTGACTCCGAGCATAGCCCTCTCCATAGCTCGCTGAGACCTTGCGAGCTAGCGACCTTGAGATTCCTCATCCAGCCAGCAGTGAAGGACCACGTTTCAGTTCCATAGGTCATCACTGGCAACACGCACTGGTTGTAAAGTCTCATTTTCAAGTTTTGAGGCATACCTAATGAGAAGAGTGCTGTAATTTCTCGAAAGCTGCCCAGCCGATTTGAATACGTCAATTGACCTCTCTGTCGAAGTTGGACTTACCTAGTCGGACTATTTGTCCCAGGTAAACATACTCGTCAACAACTTCTAGCTTAGTGCTCCCAACAACTACCGGCATAGGTGTGACATGGACGTTATACATGATTTTTGTTTTGTCCATGTTCATCTTAAGACCTATCCCTTGGGAGGCACTATTGAAGTCATTGAGCATAGTGCTTAGGTCCTCCAGCGATTCTGCCATAAGTATGTACTCGCATTGATGTTAATACCGTATCCTTTCCAGATCTGTAGCTTGAAAACGACTTTCAATGCAGCGGTGAACAATTTCGGGAATAAAACGTCACCCGGTTTTACACCTCTCTGTAGTTGGATAGGTTTTGTACTCTAGTTCTGTACTCGGATATCCATCGTAGCCCCTACTGCACAAACACTTCAGCACTTCGATATACCGACAGTCAACTTGGCACCGCTGAAGGGTCTGCAGCACCGCCCAAATTTCGACGGAATCAAAGGCTTTCTCATAGTCCACATACGCCAGACATAGTTGCAAAGTGTACTCCTCGCATTTCTGTACAATTTGCTGAAGTGTGTGTATGTGATTTGGTCTATGGTGCTAAAGCCTTTTCGGAATGCTTGTTCGGGACGTGGGAAGTCGTCGAGTCAGCATGCGAGGCGATTTGTAATGACTCTCGAAAACAGTACCTTTACGCTACTCAGAAGGAAGATCGGTCTGTAGTTCTTTAAGAGAGCATTGTCGTCTTTCTTGAAGAACAAGACTACCGCACTTCTGCTCAACACCTCCGGTGTAGTACCATCATGGAGGACGGAATTAAAGAGCTTCTGAAGGACTTCAAGTACCAGTTTTCCACCCGCTTTCAGAAGCTCCGCTGTAATTCCATCCTCGTCTAGTGCCTTGCCGTTTTTAAGGTGCTGGAGAGCCATTCTAATCTCGCTCAGACTGACATCCGGAATATCATCGGAATAGTGTAGGATAAGACTTGCTCTTGGATCGTTACTCACACTTGCGTGTGGGTCCAACGGTTATGTGTACAGCAGCACATAGAACCTCTCATTCTCACTCAAAATCTCAGGTGTCCCGGGAACAACGCTGCCACTCTCGGTCTTCAGCTTCGGCCATTGGCTCTTTCTGGCAGACAGATCTCTATCAAAGACTTTGGAGCCCTGGTTTCGCTCGATCGCTTCTTGAATACGAGCAGTATTAAAGTTGCGTAAGTCTCGCCACATACATTTGGAGATCTGTCTTTTCAGTTGCCTGCATGCTGTCAAATCTACTGAAGACTGCAGCTTCATTTCCCGTCTAACAGCCATGAGATTAAGAGTGTGATCGGCGAGTTTTGTGTTCTTCTGCAGCGGGTCTTGCAAAACTTAGCTCCGACCGCATGGACAGTTTCTACGAACTTGTCATTCATATCGTCCACTGCATTGCGATCTTCTAGACACTGAAAACGGTTTTGTAGCTCGAGCTGACAGGTTTTGGGACTTTGGATTAGAGCACGAGGGGGACGTACGTAACGCTTGTCGACACACTCTTAATCTTTACAACGTTGTTAACGAGAGACTTGTGGACAATAAATCCGACACCTCCTTGGGATAGGTCGTCGCCCTCCCGGTGAAAGAACAAGTCGCCGGATTCGAGAATTACCATGTCCATGTCTTCGGACCTCAGATAATCCTGTAATATTCCAGCATAACATGTCTATCTCTTCTTCCAGCTCCAGGATCTTCTCATCAGTCCTCAGGGTGCGTGCGTTATATGTTGCCAGGTCGAGTCGTCTTATGTGGCAATCGAACCTCCACCGAAGATTCTTAGCACCCCCTGCCCCGCCGTTACCATGGTCGCCACTGGAGCCAAGAATAGCGGGGCTGCCGGGGACTGGGGGCCGTCTCTACATAACTTTAATCATGGGGGGTATATTGCCATAGGTGCCACATTTGGCGCGCGAGTTGGCTACCGCAGGTTTTTGATTGTTGTTTTGCTGTTATCAGAAAGATGCTGCTGCCCATTTTTTGCCTCAGTTTCCCTCTGTTGCCTGTTACGACATCCGTGGGAAGATATGGGGTAGTGAATATTCTTACCCACCACTACGTGGGGAATGATTATTAATGATACAGTAATGTTTTTACACGACGTTTAATATCACAATATTTGAAGAAAGAAAAGGAAAAATTATTGCTTTCACGATAAAAAAGTTAGAAAACAATTGACCATTACTCACCAGATCCTACAGGGTGAATGCGGCCACATGCGGCACCCAAGTTTTTGTCTTTTTTCATTAGATCGATAAGCAAAGTTACGGCACACGGCTTAAAGTCAATGTCTCCGTCCAAAGCAAGGAGGTAAGTGTTCTCCGCTATAACCTCTTTCCGGTCTACAGACAACGGCAGGTCCATTAAACGGTGTCCCAAGAAATAATACATGTACATGACCTACAAATTAAAAAAATATTACTTTTATTGCTATTATATAACAATAAGATTAAAAAAATTGTTATGTGACTGGTTAATTTAAAAAAGAATATTTTAGATCAGTATTAAAAGATTTAATTAGCTTTAGTATTAGCTCGGCAGGTACCCGCCTTAATTTCACGGGAATTCTCAAATGCCTGCAATAATATTACGAAAAAAAAAACTTTCTTATAAAGTAAATTTTACCTGAGACCATCGCTTCCTATGCCTGATCTTAGATTTGTCTTTCAGATGACAAACCATTTTATTCTTTCCTGGCAGAATCCAAACCAACTTGCCGCCATACGGTGTTGGATACTTCTTTGGTGGTCTCAATCTAACATTAGTCAAGTGTACTTCAGAAGCCGCTTCGTCAATTGTATCGACCAGACATTTAACGAAGCGATTCACTTGAGAGTCTTCCGCACTATGGTCAGAAACTTCGAAAGCATCGTCCATAAATATATGACCTGATAAAATTTTGTAATTATACACATTATTATGCTTTTTTATAGAATAAATATAACGAAGGAGCACACAGTCCAACAGATGCTAACTGGACCCTGTGGCCCGTGGACATATCTATCTTTGATTAAGAATAAAAATGTAGATGCGTTGTTAACCCTGAAAATTTAGACAGAACGCCTCGTTTCCAGTAAAAACTCCGTTTCTTTATACTTACTATAAGGAACATAACAATATTAAGCTGCTATTTGACGCTGGTATTCTGTGAGAGCGTGGTCCTTCCCCGGTCGAGCCGACCTGTTCGTGCTGCGTAATATCGCTGCAGCTTTGCTTTACCACGTTAAAATTCGTTTTCAATCTTCTTAAAAATACAAAATTTAAAAACGTGTCACGAATATTACATGAAGATGATAAAAGTTAGTTTTAATAAATAATATTTTGAAAAGATTCCTTAATTTTGACAAAGATTTGTATTAGTTATATATAGTATAAAGGTAAAAATCAAAATAATTCTCGTCAATTTAATACTTACACTCTAATTCGTAATAATCAGGATCTACTATTCCGAGGTATTTCTGCGCAACGCGTCGCGCACTCTGATCCTCATCCAGACGGAAAATGGATTTTAAGAATTCCATCATCTCATCTTTTGTTTCATGCCACATGGTTGCACAGACATAAATCCTGTTTAAAAACGGCATAGTCAATTTAAAAAATATATTTTATAAAATATTATTTACAAATACAGCGCTCGCTGTAAATTTCACGTCTACACGTCTAATCTAATTGATATGAATAGACGGCCAGCCTCTTCACATTTTCATAAACGCCTTAAAAAATAAAAAGTGTTATGAAGCGGGGAACCAGCCATGTTTCTCATGTCCTCGAATTATTATAATTTCTATATAGTATATTATATAGGCCAACACTTCTTTCATCGTATTTCGTAGTAAGGCCTCAATCTTGACTTCGAACCAACTTGATGAATTTGTGTAATTGAAAAGAATAAAGAACTTCTCTGTTTTATAGTTAAGGAAAATTTCATTCAAAGATTGTTTAATGTTAACCTCTTTTTTTAAATCGTACAGTTTTTATTGCGGTACGTGATATTGTAGGAATCTAATAACTCTAATATATCTTAAAAATATTTTTGTGTTTAATTGAAGTTATGCATTTGCGTCTAAATTGTTTAAATTGCTGCAGTTGGTTTTGCCACGATCATAAAATCAGCTGTGGCATTTTTAATAATTTCAAGAACTAGTTATAGCGGAATGAAGTCTGACAACTTTACGAGCTGTTTATTATGATCATATTATTATTTTTTAGCATTTTATAAATCTTCCGGAATCGTTTAACGTTTTCACAAAACTATTGTGTGATTTAATCTTTGAGACCTGCACTATAAAATTTTGCAAAAAAAAAACAACGCGATTTTAAAATGAAAATTACCCAGATCGTTTCCAAAGTCGTGTATGACTATTTTTAAATAAATAAATAATAAAGTGTTATCACAAAGTTATTGTAAAATCGACGTCTTGATCCTTTTGAACAAATTTCTTTACCTATATATTTCAAAAAAATTCAGATTCTTCTTTGCTGACCAATCTTAATGGCTTAACTTATTACTAAATTATAAAATTGTAACCAATAAAATTTTTAGATCTTTGAAAAGCGACAGGGGAAACAAATCATGAGATGGGGAGCAGCGTCTTCCCAATAAAGACTAAAAATAAAAAAAACTGCGGTTGCCATCCTGCTTGCCAAGCGGGGCAACTATAGCAAATATCCCCCTATGAGACAATTTATGAGGCAGGCCTATTTTCAGTAGACTTTATTAGACTGTAGCGGTAACGGTAACGGTGTGTTATCATGAACATTTACGACCTTGGTTTAATATATTATGCATACATTCGAGACATTATAATATTATTAATTTAAAAGCGTTTATAAACATTGATTAAAACAGCTTTCTGTTTATGTTTGTTTGTAGAAATGATACTCTATAAAACTGATTTTCACTAATACGTACCTTGTTATACTATCAGAAGGTTTTATATCTTTAGCCACTTCATCGAAACTTCCACGAGAACGACCATCGTCGTCTTCCAGGTCTTTTAAATCCTGCAAAACAGTAACTTCACATCACTTCAGAAACCATCTTAAGTATATTTCTGCACACAGGCCTTATAGAGAATGCGCAAGCTGATAAGTATTGCTTGAATGATTTGCCAATGCCCTTGATTTAGTAATAAATTTTAATTTACACTGTAAAATGTCCGGAGTGACTTCAGGGGGAACCTCCGCGCTATCTACCGGAAAAAACAAAACAGCATTTTTCAGGCCAGATAATGTATTATTTATTATCAAGTTATAGAACCCCTTTGCCGCGTAGGTGTCACGGAAACACGGAGACAATCGCAAAAATAAAAAAATTGTTTTTGCAATAATATATCACTTATTATATTTTATATTCTATTTTATGTGAAATGTTACTTTAATATGTCAGATGTAGTAAAAGAATCAACCATCCCAAATCGTCTCATGGGTGTGGCTAGAGACAATTGTAGGAAAGAATAGAAAGATCTTACAGTTTCCGTGAAAAAGGGGGATACAACCATGTTTTATATATATATAAAATAAGTAAACCTTCGACAGGCCAGGCAGGCTTTACCGGAGACCCTTTTTACTGGAAAAGAGGCATTCCATCTTATTCCGCGCGGCTGACAACGTATCTGCATTTTGATTCGCAAACGAGGATAGATGTAAGTTGTCACCATCAGGTGGGCTGTGTGCTCGTTTGTCACCTTATCCTATAAAAAAAGGAAGCAGTGTCAATCAAGCGAGACATCCGAAACTGCTGTCACCAATCCATTACCAAAAATGGCGATTCTGACATGTTCTGCCTTCTAAGGGAAAGGCAACGTTGAACAGAGGATTGTTTGGAGTTCAGTAAGAAGAAGATTATCATATGTCTATAGTAACCATACCACAATTTGTATGTCGATTTCGTCATCTTTTGTGCGATTCAATAGTAATGATTGGTCAATAAGCGGCCCCAGGTACCAGGGCTTTGCAAATAATTTGTCTGTAGCGGCGAGTCGTTCGCAACGTGGCATCCACGTGTGCATAGTTATCCATGCCTGAGACGCCAACCATAAAAGCCAAATCCATACCATTTCATTCCCAAGATATTCCTTTAGGAAGTATACTGCAAAATAAATTAAATAAATGATAAGTAAAAATTATATCAAATCGATTTTAATTAAACTTTCGTAAAAATACATAATTATTTACTTTTACAAATCCCATATACATCATACACTAGTATGCTCATACAAACAAATTCACAAACTTTACAATACGCGTTACACAAATTTGCATCTGTGAAGTTCACCTCAAACCCAGTGTGACCAGATTTACTAGTAATTGGATCCTGCGATTCTAGCCAGAATCGGACTCTCATTTTAGCTCATAGCAGGATATGTACAATTTTTGAACATTACCAAACCGAGATCACTGCGGGTACACACTCATGAGACTCAAATGGAGAAAGGATTAAGCAAATGTATTTCAATTGTGAAAATGAATAGTAAAATAAACAACTTAGGAATAAATTTGAAATTTTAATAAAAGTAAAGCATGCTCTAGATATATGTAATGCAGCTTCCCAACAGAGGTGACCTTGGTGAGGGTTTGGTTTCCATACGTGGATTGTGTTTCGGCTACTCGGATCACAACCAAGCACCCACACGGTCGAACTTCACTGTGAATCGCGCTCGCGTAGAATTAAGACGAAGAAATGGCTCCTAATTTGACCAAATTTCAAAAGGTGGGCCTTGCTTTAGCAGTTTTGTGTGCAATTGAAGACGGAAAACAAAGAAATAAAAGAAAGTAAATGAAGCAATGGTTAAAGGAACGATTAATCTTCAGTCATCCAAACTTATTGGAGTTATTGGAAGTAGATGGTATTTATAACTTTTTGGATTGGAACCGTGAATGATATTTTGCACCCGCATACGTGTGCCCGTTCTCCAAAGACGTTGAAGATCAAATAAAATTTGGAATACACCTGCCGTCTAGATAGATGGCAACAAGCAAGGTCACCTCTGTTGGGACGCTGGATTACATCCGTCTGGAACATGCTTAAGAATAACAAAGGGCCACTCATGCCAATGGACATTTACATCATCTTCGACTAAGACGCAAGCTTGTACGGCGCGTATCGTACGTACTAACCTGGAGGGATTTCAAAGAATAAATAATCCGGAATCATGTTATGAAATGCACATGGATCTGCATTTTTCATGCCACAAAATACTACCAGTAAATTGATCAAAAGCGGTCCGACCAGACTAAGTGCGAAAGTAAAGCTGAAATTTTGAATGAGAATCTTGCAAGCGAACTTTCCGCTTGTGTAACAGAAATAGGCTGCTACCACTTGAATCAAAGACACCCACAATGAAGAATTCCACGTTGCAGGCAAAACAAATGCAGCGTCCGTTAAATTAAAGTCTAATTGGCCATCGTGCGCATCTTGAACTACTATTTGAAGCTAAAAATAGAAAACGTTGCATTAATTATAATTGTAATATCGTAATTGTAATAAATAAATTATAATTGTAATGTACATATAGACATGGTATTACAATATGTATTTTTAATTGAAAACGTACTTCATAGACACTGTAGTCGCGTTCGCCGAAGGCAGTGTTAAAGGATGAAAGAATGGCAAAAGGGTCATCGTTTTGAATGTGTAAGGAAATCATAATAAACACCATAAATACGCATATCTTCCAAATAGAAAGTATTCTTTGTGTATAATATCTAGTAGTCTTAAGTGCCAATTTTAGTTCGCTTAAATAGTAGAACAAAACTGAAAACAAAATATTAAAAAATTAAAAGGGTTTATATTATTTTATATTTTAAAATACCTAAGTAGACAAAAATAAAATATTTTAATTATTTATTTTGGTAGGTAGTATAAATTGGGCCAATTAGTATAATTGCAATTTGTATTAACAATTCAATTTGTGATAATTTTAGAAGCTATCAATGTGGTCCGATATTGATCATGAGAAGGTAACACAATTTTTTTAATTTGTTCAACGGACAATAAGTTTTCTGCTGGCTGTTCTATAACATTTCACGGCTGGACAATGACTTCCATTTTATGTCTTACAAATATTTTATTTCTCATACATGCAGATTTTCCCGTGATGTTTTCTTTCACCGCCTAGTACGTGGTAAATTAGCATTTAAAACTGCAATAAACAATTTTATTGGTGCCAACGGGTATTGAACCCGGGTTGCTCGCGTACAATAAAATTTACGGCGAGTGCTTAGCTCCTGAGTAGCATATCCTTAATATCTGAGAAATCCATTGGGATAAGAGAAATTAAGAATTATTCGAGGGTATTGGAAATACTCAAATCCATTTTTGAGCATCATGGCGTACTTCACGCTTCTTCACACTTAGATTGGTGAGACTGTGGATGGCGGGCCACCTATTCTTAACAATTGGATCTGACTATCTGCTAAATATCTAAATGTGTCATCTTGTCAATTACCGCATATTTCAATATTTTTAAAACACAATACTTACACAGTAATTAAACACTTAACATTTTTTTATTAAATAAAGGGAACAAATGAGCACACAGTCCACGTGATTGTAAGTAAAATGCTATGACCTATAGATGCCTACATCTACCCTCGATTAAGAATCAAAATGCAGATGCACGGTCACACATGAGGACTAAGATGGAATGCCTCGTTTCCAGTAAAAAGGGTCTTCATTGACACTGCACAACGTGTAACATTATTTTTTAATAAAAAATACATACCAGAAGTGTGTGTTTCACTAACATTAACATAATTTTCCCACCATCCAAGTGAAACAAATATACAAGCCATTGGTATTGTATATAAAGTCGGAATTCCATCCAGAAGTGGCCAAACGATGAACGCAGTTGCTTGTGCAGATATCGCCAATACGTCCAGGATAATTTTCATCATATATTGATTTTCGCCGCCATCTCTAGTTAACGCATTAAGTATACCAGGAATAATGCACATAGAATTCATTAGCATTGCCCCTTTCACAACGTCTAATTCAGGCAATATAATAAGGATTAGTGTCGCTACTCCAATAGTGTGCAACGTTTCAACTAAGAAAGCCTGAAATATTGTATTATTGTTATATAACGAACATAATAGCCTAACATGATATATTTCCATTTTCTACTTACTATAAAAAATTGTAATCTACTTGGTCTTTTTGCTGTTTTGAAAAAGCAAATCCGAAGGGACCTAAAAAACATTCCCAATTCTGGAACACTAAAAACAATCAGCGCAGCCCAGAGCCATGTAACTCTTTCCTCTAATGCAAGAATTGCTAAAAACTGCTTGTCTAATGCTAAAATGAACATTTTAATCTATGAAATAAAAAATTTAAAATCTTAATAATGACAATAATTTTGTTAATAGTGACAAATGTTACCTAAAGCCTTATTACAGTGGCTAACGTAGCGTTCTTTCTTCAGTTGTGAAGTTATAAAAAGCAGAGTGCCCTTCGCTATAACTGCTGAGCCCAAAACTGCCATAAAAGTTAGTATATATGCAAGAACTTTTAGAATTTTCATACTGGTATCTACCCATTCTGTCGATGCCGTCGACCCACTCTCCTTCTTTACTGGTATTTCCCGGAAAAGGTTCCATCCTTTTGTTTCTTGAGCTGTTCTTTGGCTAAAAAAGTTTGTAGTAACATAATTTCATAAATAAGAATGTTAAAGAGATACATCGAAGATCAAAAATATTCCATGTTCTGACAGGGTAAGAAAATCCACTATCCTATTTTGGGTACCTACCTACCTACCTGTGGGTGTTGTATGTCGACTATAAGAAGGCCTTCGATACAGTGGAAAATAGAATATGGCGTTAATTTCATTGAATTCTTCGCCGTATTGACATTTTCACCAGGACATTTGTAGATGTTTACTAGCTACTAGACTTAACTTATCCGACTCACTTAAGAACTTATTGAATATAGTTCAAATATCACCATAGTCGTAAACGATCTGAAAAACATTATAATCCCCAAAAATTTAACTTACTCTAATTCATCCGTATCATCATAAAGTGGCTGAAATTCGGAGTTCGACTGGTCGCTGTCATCTTCCAAGTCCCCAAATCCTGGAGTTGTTGCCATTACCTAACGCCCTGAAATAATTTCACATATTTAGAAAATTTATATCTTTTTTGTCAATTTTCATTAGCATGATATATTAAAATATCCAGGTGTTGGGATTATTGCAGTCTCCAAAATCACAATTTATCCCAAAGATCGTATGAAATTATTTGATTACTTCATTTTTAATGATGAAACATATCATATCTTAATAAATTGATATATACACTTATTATTTTTAAGTCGTCAATAATAAGTAGGTATTGCGCAGAAAATACCTAATCATGAATTGTTACTTGGTGGAACCACGCTGCATCTATACCGCAGCACGAAAGGTTCGGCTTGACCGAGCAAGGACCAATTTCTTACAGAATAGCAGCGTAAAATAGCAGCTTAATACGACTGTGTATCGTATGGTGAGTGTAGAAAACCGGAGACCTTTTTTACTGAAAACGAGGTATTCCGTCTTAGTTTTCAGGAGTGACAACGGATCTGCATTTTGATTCTTAATCGAGGCTAGGTGTAGATGTTTATGGACCACAGCATCCACTTACAGGTTGGCTGTCTGTACATTTTTTATTAACTAAATATCTGCAGCATGGCCCTACAATGTACATTCGCTGCATCCAGTAAACCAACCATCGCTACCATGCTGTTTCTAAATTTTTCATAACGATTGTATAAAATATTATATTGTAAATTATGCTTTTTTTAAAAAGCCACCCTGTGTTTCCTGCTGGTTCTTCCCAGGATAGAAGTTTTTGCGAACCAGTGGTAAAAGTAAAAAATTACTTTCAATAAATATTATGTACTGTAATCTATATTGAATAAAAATGTAAATGAGATGAAATACTATTCTATTCTATTCGAACGGTCATATCGCGTATGTATTACATTGAGTCGTTCAATAGGGATTTCGGAAATAATTCAATACAATAATGATAGAACTAATAAATACTCTTGTAATTACTTGTGCACTTGCGATATTTTGACATATCCGATGTTTGCGCCACCTGTATACTAACACCTAACGCTTATTCAGTTCGTTTATTTTTATCCAATAAGAGTACTGCAAATAATCTATTTCCGGGTTTCCCTTATGCCTTTTTAAGCATGCGCACTCTTGTGTTCGGAGCTAGCATAAGACACGCACAAGCACCCGTCTTCGTGTAGTCTGAATATTAAACTATATTAAAATATCACAATTTAGTAACATTTACAATATTAATATATATTTCGCGAATATTTTTAAAGTTTATATGTTATAAGTTTATGTGTGTTGCTGCAGCTCTTGAAGCACGACGCAGATCAGCAGTAGACCAGGAGAGAGCGCATGCATTCCTTTACGTCCTTCCCGTAGCCCGAATTTAGAGAATTTGCAGTATATTGCGAATATATAAAATCATTCGAAATTTGAACTAGCAGTCATTTAAGCCAACATACCACACTACCAATTTCTAAATTATTAACAAAATTGGATTTCTAACCGCAAAATTACAAATAAAACACTAATGTGATTAGTTCGTAATTTTTTAAATAGCTTAATGTAAAATATATTCATATCTACTTCAATTAAAATACTTGTCCTTGTATTTTACAGCAAATCTGATTTTAAGAAATATTCCTGAAGCCTCAAAAGGATTAAGTAAGTTCTGTCATCAGATAGTTTACTAAAACAACAAACAGGGAATCTGAAATTGTTATAGTACCTAACACATTTATTGTAAACAAAATTAACCCTATCGATTTATGGAACCGTAACATAATTTAACATTTTTTTGTTGTGCATTGAGTAATATCGTCCAGAAGTCCACTACTAAATAAATAAAATGAATAAATAAATGCTTTACTTCTTTAAAACAAACAAAATTGTATATTATGGGTGCTCGTTGTAAATTTAAAAGAAATCTTGTATCAGGAGTCCCCGCTCTTCCTTATATATAGTTTTTTCTGCAAATATTTAAGTTAGAAGATTCGTTTGTAGGTTTTAGCCAGTCAAAAATTATAGAGAGACCACTTTGACCGTCTCATATACCCTGTATTGTCGGCGTAAGAGTAAATTTTACAATCTTCAATGCTTATGTTGGTATGGTAATTTATACTTATATATTATAAGAAACACAGTTGTGGCAAGTTCATTCCCCTGGGGCACACCAAAGGTTATGTCAATGTCTCTACTCACGTGATTTTCAATTTTCACTCTTTGAGTGCGCTCTTGTAGGTAGGTAATTGCTTAACAAGTTAAGCCGATGTACTCCAGTTTATGAACAAGGGTGGGAAATCAGACTGTAACAAAAGCCTTTTTCGGGTCTAGAAAAACAATCAGGAATATATTTCCCCGGTTGACTTGATCTGTAATAAGGAACATGAGAGACGGTACTGTGTCCAAAACTGAACAATACCTATGCCAATGCATGAAAAGTCTTAAATTTAAATACCTTACCCATAATCCTTTGTTTCTTAATTATTTACTAAAAATAAGTTATAATCTTTGAAAATATCTATGTCTAAATGTTTATTGCATTAACCATAAAAATAGAGGATACAAAGGGTAGACGTAACGCCTATGAGCATTCCCTACCAGTTAAGCCATTGAACTGTGAGAATTGGAACTAGGTATAGTCATAGTCATTTATTCCAAAAACAATGTGTGGGAAAAGTTAATTGTAATATAAAATATTAATTGCAATTAATTAACATTATACGTGTTTACTAAAAAATGTCTACAACTTAATTATTAATTAAATAATGCATGTAATATTAATTTTTACCAAACTCAATATAATCATTCTCTGAATGGAAACATTTTTCCAATAAAAAAGGTTTCAACCTTTGTTTAAAAATTTTATCATTATTTATGGTTTTTAGGGCATTAGGTAGTCTATTAAAAAGTTTTACAGTTTACAGCTTCATTTCTAACGCTATGACGCTATGCTCAACAACCTGTAGTTTTGTATTAAAGACATATAACAAGTGACTAAGTGATATTTACACGATTTTTATTTCAATCAAAAGACGTAGACAATTGAATAAAAAAGGGATAAAATATTGTCATTTTGCATCCCAGAATATTTTATTTATTTGTTTAATTTTAAGGGGTAAAATTTTACTTTATGTCATAACTTTTGATAATTATTTAGAAATATAAGCTGGGTGATTTATAATTTGCCACGTAGTGATGAGAAAATCCGTCACCTCATTTTTTCGCTTGGATGCTCTAAAAGGCGACAATGGGAATGCCAGTAATATCTTATGGCTTCCGGTAGACAGCGTTATGACGCCAGATATAAAATTTGGACGGTTTGGATAACCGGTGACAGTGCAGATCCAAGATATGAGACGCACTGTGATCGTCAATGAATTTATATAATGATAAATACTAATGTTTTAAATTGTTATATTTTTTATTATTAAATTATTATTATTATTATTAACCGTATAACGCCTGTGTTAGAATATCCACTACCTCATATTGTCCCTTTCATGTCGTACGAGGCAACAGAGGGAATCAAATCAAGAGATGGACAGTAGAGTCTTCTTAATAACAACAAGAAAATAAAAACTGTCCTATGTGCAGCTGTAGACTTTGATAGGCTGTAGTGATAAAATTATTATAAAAAGATAAAAATTAATGTGCAAAGAGGTATATAACAAAGCCAAACCATTCTTAATTTAGTGTAAGAACACACCCTCTACGTACGCATATAAATACTATTTGCAACCAACATAGTTATAGATTCTTATGTGTGCGTCTAGTAGGGTACTATTACAAGTTGGTAAACAAAAAAAAAACAAAACAAATGTGTGCGTGAATACGTGTGAAAAAATTGAGTAAGATTTCGGCATAACTTGAAATGTACGTAGCGCTCCGTCTATCTTTCTTTGTAGTGCCGAGTTATAACCCTATAATATGCCTAACCCTTTAATATGTGCTTAATATTTATAACCGTCGTCATTACAGTCACATTAAAATCCTGTCAAAACATACGTTTGAAATGTAACTTGCTGTTTTTCAGACCGATTGGCAAACACAGTGATACAAATACAAAAAATACAAAATTCAAAACTTGTTAGTTCAAGAATAGGATGATTCTATTTCCTGATGTACTACAATAATAATCCGAAATATTTTACTTACTCTATAACTCTACTCCAAACAGATTGAATTGCTTACTCTTCAATTATAATAATAAAAATGACGATTAATATTTCACCACATTATTCACAACGCAATTCATTTTTTTTTATGCAACAATAAAAACAACGAAACACAATTGATCACTCATTAATCACTGAATTACTTGAAATATACCCTTATCTTCCAAACGTCATTTTATTATCAGGGCTCGATTAAAAGTTATCCACTATCAGGGACTGCGATTGAATAACGTTCTAAGGAAGCGACATTTAAATAACAGTCCATATCTTTGTACACTTTAATCACACACACTTGAAGTTCTAATACGTTTAAAAGTTACAGCATACACACGTTCCACTGCTGGGCACAGGCCTCCTCTCATTTCTGAATGTTTTATTATTTTTTCTCTCAGACAACTAAGTATCAATTAAGATAGATCTTCATCACATGAATGAACGAAGAAATTTATAATTAGATTTTATACCACATACTCTTCTCTCCACCCAGACATTCGCGAATTATTAGTGATAGTGAATACGAGCACTACGCAAAATTCTTAATTTTACCAATTTGGTCAACCTATTCAAATATCCATTCAAATATTCAAATATCCATTCAAATATCCATTCAAATATTCAAATATCCATTCAAATATTCAAATATCCATTCAAATATTCAAATATCCATTCAAATATTCAAATATCCATTCAAATATTCAAATGTACGTGGTAGAGCCATACTGCAGCTATATTAGTAGTATAGTTGTAGCACGAATGGGTCGGCTCGACCGGGGAAGGACCACGCTCTCACAGAATACCAGCGTAAAATAGCAGCTTAACGCTGCTGTGCTTCGTATGGTGAGTGTAGAGAACTGGAGACCCTT